TTGCAGTGGGGAGGAGACCTCCTGCTTCCTTCTGCTTCTTCCTCAATAACCCCTTGCACCTGATTCACCTCCTTGATTGCTTTTGAGCACCAAGCTGGCACTTTCTCTGGGACAACCTGTTCTACATGCAGCATCCCAGGCCACTGGTTGGGTGCAGGCCCATCAGAGTGCATCTCTACACATACACACGTGTAAATCTGTGTGTACACACCCACACACGTACAGTTAACAATATTCTTACCCCCATGTGCTTACTGTATATTGAACTACATTGAACGCCACCAGGTACCATATTGCCACTCACTCGTGTTCAGCCTCTTGTTCAGTTTAGGGTTTGGTGTTTGTTTTTTTTTTTTTTTTAAGGAGGCAATGGAGAAAGCCCAAACAATCTGTTGATCCTTGCCATGCAGGAGAGGTGTGTTTTTTCCTAACGTGAAGTAATAGCTTATCTAGGACCTAAACACACTAGGATGAAAACCTCTTCTGAATTTTATCCAAGAGAGTTCATTGCTTTAATCCTGGATAATCCGTATCTAATCCTTTTTATAATCTTACTCATCTACTTGCCTCAATAGTTTTCCACAGCAAGGAGTTTATGTTTTATACAAGGAACATTTTTCTCTCTCTCCTTTTTTTTTTTTTTTTTTTGGTAAAATGAGTTTTATTATCACAGGGGTTTCTCTTCTGCAAGCGTTCTTCATCCAAACTGAAAATAAATTACTTCTTTTTGATACCATGCCTTGTAAAGGACTAAAGAATTGTTTTGCTTCCCAACAGGACATGAGCTCCAGGTGGCTAATGGCTGCTACCAGGTATATTTTGGGCCCAGGAACAATCACAGACACCTGAAGCCCGTAACGTTACACATGTATTGCATAGAATAGATATATTGCCAAGATTGAACAGAATATATTTTATCAGAAGAGAAGTGGGAGGCAGCTCCTAGCCTCCTATAATGATCATAATTCCCTGTATATTCCAGATCTGACCATTGAGACTTAAATCCCTTCTTGTAGCTGGCATCACATGGGACAATCACATCTTCTGTCTGCGTTTTCCACAAGTTAGGACAAAACGAGCATCCTGAAGCCTGTCTCTAAGACAGACTCAGGCTATGCTGGGCGCTATTCGCCTGACAGGATGCCTGCAGGCCAGGAGACCACCGGAGGTGTGGGAGGAGGCAGGCAGGGGCAGGATGCTGCCCCTCTGCTCTGTGCTTCAGGGCAGTAAGACAAGGAAAGTCCCAGGTGCGGGACTGTGAGCCATTTAACTTTCCAGTCACAGAACTCACTGGTGTAGCAGATGCATTGAATTCTGGCTCAAAAATCTGCTTGAATTATCTCTATTGTGCATAAGGAAACAAGACTGATGTGCATTTTTTTTTAATAAATAAAAGGATGAATGATTTAAAAAGAAGGCTACATAAAAAATGAAGCTGCTACATATCACTGCTTTCTCATCCTAACAGAAACAAATCAGCCAGCCTTCAAACTTTTGTTTACCACTCATGTTGAAGTGACCATAGCATCTCCTCTGAAATAAATAATGGAAATCTGGCAAATATTCAAGGGAGACACAACACACACAACATAAAACATGATAATAAACTGAATAATCTATTAGCAATCAAAGATCTAGAACCAAACCCACAGTCTACAAATAACATGTCAAAAATGAACCACAAACCATACACCGAGGTGGATAATAACTTAGAGAAACTGGCAAATTTGTCACTGGGATGCGGGTGGCACAGCTGTATTTTTTGCTCAGGGAACCCACGGCTGGTAACCCTCAGTAGTCACTGAAGAAATCCTACCTTTCATTAAGCAGAGCATCCACACTTGAAATTCAAATCCCTGCACTCAGCTACCCAGTTCCTCGTTTCATTATGAATTTCAGAAAAAGCTCTTTTGCCCCCAAATCCTGCATGCAATTTCCAAATCATGGGCCAATTACAAGCAGCTAATGAATGCAGTAGGCACCATGCTGCAAAGGATGCTGCTTGGTGCTAATGAAGGATCTGGTCCTGATGACGGGCACTGGGGTGCCAGACAGCGAGCCCCCCTTCTTGCCCCGCAGGTAGGGCACCACTCTGAAAATCCCTGAAGTTTTTTCAGGTTGCTGCTAATAAAAGCAGTTTCCTAGCAGGGCTAGATCTTAACTACATGCAGATCACTTCCAGCTGCTCCTTATCTAATTTCCGTTGTCATCTGACACTGTTCATTTACAGTATATCAATCCAGCATGGGAATGCTTGAAATATTAATTACGTAAGAGCTCATTACCACGGATGCATTTAGCAGGATGCATGCCTGTTTACAGGTATCCAAACTGCTGCGCAGAACAAATAAGCAGCACTTTCCCCTTAGGGTACATCTGTGCAGAGCTGCTGCAAGTGTCTTTAACTGAGCCAGGCTGGGTGCTGCGCTAACGAGCTCTGGGGAGAGGTGGGGTGGATCGGGAGCTGCTGGGGCACCCGCTGGGTGCTGGGCAGGCAGAGCAGGGCTGCTCCAGGCTCTGCTTTCTCCGTCCAAATCTGCAGCAGGTTTTGCCGCTCAGGCTCTGTGGCTGGCAAGACGTTTAAACCCAGCTCACCCACACAGGGTCCCTGCATGGTGAACCTGCCCTTGCTTTTGGTCGTGCTCCTTTACAGTGATGCCAGAGCATGAAAATATAAGAGAGAAAACAAAACAAAAAAAGCTAGTAGGGTTCTGCTCATTTAAAAAAATTGGGGCAACAACAACTGACCCTTCCTGCACCCAGCAGGGACCTGATAGCTCTTTGCCCCCACCCTGCTTTCTTTGGAAGCTATCATCACATAAATGGGAAAAGAAGGGTTTTTCTCCTGCCCACCCCTCAGCATGGCTCAAGTGGCTGCCCTGCTCTTGCAGCATTCTCCTTGGCTTTGCCTTTTGCAGAGAGGTTTCAAATTTGTGGGGAAAGGAACCAGAGCAAAGCCCCCCTCTGCCATTTGCACATCACTGTGGCTCTGCCCAGGTGCACCCTGAAGCACCGGCAAGGTGCAGGATTCATCCCCACCAGCACCCCAGTTTCCCCTGATGATGCAGGGGTGGACCAGGCGAGGATGGACAGACGGACACGTGAAGCTGGTGCCTACACGCCTGGAGAACAGCCTCACCACGCAGGCTCCTGCTGCCGAGGTGCTGCAGGAAGGTGGGACGGCGACTGATGGAGTGAGGCATTAGCTCCACAGAGCAGGCAGAGGATGGCTCGTTACGGAAATAATGGCAAAAATGGGCTGAGATATGAGAAAAATACTGGAGGAATTGCTTACATTTATGGTTGTTGGGGTCTAATTTATTCTTGTGTTTGGACAGCAAGAGAAAATAGAAATAGTCCCTCCTGAAAGGGTCTGTGTCGATGCTCGGGGTGAACACAGCCCAGAACAATGGGTATCAGCTGAAGTGGCTTAACCTCTTCTTCTGATGAATGCAATTAACATTTGTTCGGGGCTGATGTGTGCCTGTCACCCCACAACTTATCCCAGAGGCTGGTGCCTCCTCCCACCATCGGGTAAGACCTCAGCACGTTCATTGCATGGAGCCGAGGGGCAGGTGGGGGAATGCCCAGGGCACCCTCTCTGGGACAACGAACATCCCTCATCAACAAACGATCCACAGCAAAATCAGGGAACATGGATAAAATAATTGGTTTGGGTGACAAGAAAACAAATGCTGCAATTCTGCTTGCCCCTCTGGGTGTCCAGGGGGCAAACCCAGCCCCATGCTCACGCAAGTCACAGCGGTGGCCAGCTGGGAAACGCCGGTGACCCTAAATAAAAACTGCCCTTCTGGGAACTGAAATATGGCCGCGATGACTGACAGTGCTGCCAGGAGCACTCCCATCTGTCATCCTTAACCCCAAGTCTTGTCACCTCCCTGAAGTTTCTCATCGATCTCCCTGCCGTGGCTGCTGTTTGCCAGAGGCGCTTGGCCCCATCTCGCCCCGCTTTGGCAGGCATGAGGACGGCAGTGCCCTGCGCTGCCTCTTCCCAGCAGAGCACAGAAAAATGCTCCCCCCAGTTGCAGGGAGAGCCACGATGTCCTGGGGAGACCAGAAACAGGGCTTCGGCCCCTGAGGGTGCTCCCCTACTGTGCCCAGCCACAGCAGCCCCCTGCTTGGGACCACTGCTGGTGGTGGAGCCAGAATCCTAACAGGGACAGGGGGAGATCCTCGCATGCACTCACCCCCCTGTTTTACTATGGCCTTTCCACCTTTTGATAAGAAGTTCTCATGCAGCACCTTGCCTGCTGGCCAGGCTGGGTTTCCTTCCTCAGCACCACCGCTCTTGCTCTGGGCAGGGTCTTGGGAAGGACGGGCACAGGTCAGTGCTGTCAGATCCAAGGGAAGTTAAATGGAACTTTTCTGGATTTCCAGCACTTGCCTACTCTTGGCCTCAGCCACCACCGCTCCCCAGCCAAGCCAGGCTTCACTTCCCCCTACCACCAGGAAGCAAAGCCTTATACTAAACAGTGACGTGAAACCCCCAAACCAGACATCCAGGTGCTCTCCAGCATCCCCACACCTTTCTGCTCAGAGCAGCTCTCAAACAAGTGCCCGCATCCCCAGGCATTGTGCCCAGCCTTTTAGCCAGCCCCAGCATCTCCGGGCACGGGGAGAAACCTGTGGCCACCCCAGCAGCCGCTGCTCCCCTCAGTAGGAGCAAGCAGCAACCGCGGGATTTCTGCATTCTTTTAAATGATGCACAATCACTGAACGTGGCAGCAGACAGGGTTTTTTTTTTCAGACTCCAGATTCAGCCACTGAAATGTTTTTGATCCGGTTCCAGCGGAGCTAAGCAACTCCAGTGAACGCATCCCTTAGGGACATCACAGTGCCTGGAGAACACACGGGCCCCATACCTGCACAGGGGACGAGGAGGGAGTTGCAGCCACCCGTGGCTGCCAATCTGCTGCTTTTTGGAAGCAAGGAATTCATTCAATACACAATTAAGAAAGAAATGTTCGTCTTGGTCTGAATTTTTCCCCAGCTAGGTTGTTGTGTTTTGCTCCATTTTATTTAAGGCAGGGAAGGAAAAAAAAAAAAAAGTTTTTAAAAAAATAGTATTAATTACATGCTGTCAAGATCTTTGGAGAAAAATTCAATATTATCTTTTACCACAAAGAAGAAATGAATCAAGGCTCCATTCCAAATCCAGCAGCAGCCCTGACTTTGACGTGCCGAGGAAAATAATAACTTTCAGCACATACTAATTGTCTTGTTAACATGGATTATGCAGCCAGCCAAATAAATGTCATTCATGCTTTTATGAGAAAGAGCATAAATCTAAAAATCGGAAATGCATAATATTTTTTAATCATTTATTTTCTCCCCATTCTGCATTCATAGCCTAAATATATTTACATTTTTAATCCACGCAAACAAAGCAAGGCTCTGCTGGAGACTTTGGAAACCTCCCAGGGGTCCCGAGCTCAAGGTGATCAGATTTTTAAAACAGCAAGCTTGGTTCCCGCGTAGCCTTAAAACCAGTTTATGTTTTCTCAGCACAGCAGAGCCCTTTTGAAATCAGGATAATTTACACTCAGTGTAATTTGCACAAGGTTGCCTTCCCTGTGCCGGCGCGGGCTGAGCGAGCGCAGGGCTTGCCTGCACAGCATCACCTCCCTGCAGGGCACGGGGGGCGAGGAGCAAAGCTGGGGCAGGCACCTGGTGAGGTGGCAGGGGTAAGGTGACTTGTAAAGGCCACCCTCTTCATGGTGGGTATTTTCAGGCTGGAAATGTGGAGCAGCACTCCTGGGCAGCACAGCAGCAGCCAGACCCTCCTGCAGGGCAAAATCCTTATTTACCTGGAGGGAGGCATGGCTGGACGTGGAGATATGGACCGGCCCTGGGTGGGAGCAGTGATGGAGGAAAACCCCATGGCCCTAAGAGCCCACTGCGGAAAGGATGAAGGCAGCCCTGTCTCTCTGCAAGGGCTGGTTTCTGGTCGGCCCTGAAGTCCTGCTGTACTTTAGGATAATAAATCCAAAGCTGCTGATACTGTACCACCAGCCGGAGCCATCGGAGTGGGGAAGCCAGCTCGGCACAGCAATCCCAGCTAAAGCTTATGGACAGACACAATTAAAATAAGCACTATAGTTTCAATTAACTCTTCTCCCCAGCAGCACAGGCTTGGAAAGTACTCTTAATAGATCTCTTCCACCGCAGTGCACAAACTCTATTGCTGGTGCTTCGCCGATTATTGAAAGTTAGCAGAGTGAGGCCATTCCCTCACAACACCTTCAATGGTGATTTGAGGATCTGCCTGTTATTAGCCGGCCGTTTTGTGAGCGGAGGGGCTAAGCAGGGTGCAGCCTAAGCATTTCTTCAGGCGGTTGATCCCCTCAGGCCCGTTTGCTGCTTTTTGGGAATGGCTTTGCCCGGCTGCCACAGCTGTGCTCTGAGCAGCAGCCGAACAGCGGCTGGACCACGCTGCGTCCTTCTTGATTAAATCACAGGAGCATGCAATTCTCCCGTCGCCTCGGGTTGATTGGGAACAAGGCTCGGAATAATCTCAGATAGATTTTCTCAGACAGTGAGACATCCTGATGGTTTTAAGCTTTTCTTTTCTAGCTTGCAAAATACTCCCCTAGGAGGGCAGGCTGCCACCGGCCCTGCTGCAGGGTTTTCACACGTGAGCTCCTAGCAGGGCAGAGGAGATTTATTTAGATTTATTTAGGTGGGGAGGTCAGCCCCCATCACATCTGGGCATGTGGGAGCAGTGTTGAATTGTCCACTTGCACCATCAGTATGTGGAGATTCTGGAAGAAATTCTGGTTTTGGCAGCCAGCAAAGTAAAAAGCAGAGAGGAGAGCAGACCCATGCCTTCATTCCCCATCCCCAAACACTGTGTGAGAAGCAAAGGGTTGTTTTTAATAGAAATTATTAACCTTTGGAGCAACTGACCTGGCGATGTCAGAGATTCTCTAATTCTACAGTTTTAAAATCAATCCTGGCAGACTTTCTGAAAAACCTATTATAAAAATAGACAATACCACTCCATTTTTTCCATGAGAAATGGCAGCTACCAACAGTTTCTTCATTTTCTCTACCTCCAACTTCTCCTTGGCTGCAAGAAAACAGAGTGTCCTGCGGCTGAGGCTCCGAGGTGAGAAGCAGGGTGCTCAGAAACCACGTCAGATGTTGTCACAGACCTTCCATGCTCTTCTGCCTCCATTTCTGCACTTGTATAGAGGTGACAGAGATACCCAGCAGCTTCCTACAACAGGTACACAGAGTCCTTTGAATGGGAAGGGTTAAAGAACTGCAAGACATTAATTTTCCTTTAAAATTACTTACTCCCACTATTCCCTCCTTGCCCCAGTGAATATGGTCTTGTCCTTTCTTGATTCCTTTTCCTGTCAGTATCCACCTTAATTCAGGTAACCACCACGGTCCTGCATGGCCAGCAGCATGACCAAGTCCTACTTTCTCATGGAAAGCCCCAAGCAGATTTTTTGTCAGCCCCGAAGATGTGAGTTCATGCTGCAGGTTTTCTCTCTGTTGAGCCCATGGAAGAGCCTCTGCACCTGTCCAGCTATTTTTACAGAGCTTTTCAGAAATATATTACCTTTCTGAGCTCTTGCCTGTCAAAACGCATTAGAATTGGCCAGTTGTTCAAAAGGTGACAAGAACAGCCTGACAGGCAGACACGCTTGCATTTAGTATTCACACAGCCTTTGTTCTTGCTGGTAAGGAAGCAGAGCGAAACCAAAAGCAAAACAAAACCCACAACCAACACACCTCCCAGCCAGCCTGGCAATGCTGGTGCTCCAGGGGCAGCAGCCCTGAGCAGCAAGGTCTGGTTGGGGGCTCAGAGCTGAAATCAGCGCCGTGAGGGTGCAGCAACCCCAAACTAGAGGGAAGCACAGGAGATGTTGGGACCTCAGCAGCTCTGCACCAGAGAAGCCTTTCCAGTTTGCACCCTGATATGGATCGACATTGGGTCTTGCACTCCTCTGGATCTGGCCCCAGTACCCTGGCTCCATCTGCCCTGTCCTGGAGGACTCCCAGATTTAGGGGACTTCAGCACCAGTGCGGATACACAGGACACCCCCAGCCTTGGTCCATATGCTGAGCACCGGGCTGCTTTTGGGTTGCTGCCCCCAAAGCAGAACCCAGGGCAGCATCAGGTTTGTGAGCATTGGGTAGGCATGGCCAGACACCCCCTACAAACATCTCACATCACTTCCAGGTCCCCCGGGGAAAAGCAGAGCCAGAGAAAGTAAGCACAAGAGTCTAGGGAAAGAGAAAAGTTTCCTCTTTGCGTGAAGCAAGGTGAAATTAAGGACAATCAGATGCAATCAGATCACACCTCCCCTCTCCTACAAACATTCATTCACCAAACCTTTGAGGCAACTTTGATGATATTTTGGTTTCTTTCCTCTGAAACACCCACCTGTGGTCAGGAATAAATCCTACACTAATCCTACTTGGCATTGCATAATTCAGGGTTTCTTGACGTAGGCTCCTTCCGAGGAGGGTCAGCATCCCTTTGGGCTGCCTGCACGCCTCTGCCCCCAGCACCCTGCTCCCCTGGCTTCTCTCGTATTTTAAAAGCCAAACTTAGCAATGGGTGTTCACCCCTCTTGGTCTGGATCTATATCTCATTTTTCTCCAAGGGTTTTTATATATTGGGCAATACAAGACAAAAATCCTATCTTTTTTTTTTTTTCCTAGCTTGAAAGAAATAATTTCACCTAGATGGCTGCAGTGAACATGCTGCAATAACAAGAAGCTTTTCCAGAAGGGTAAATTACTTAGCGGTGGTACCAACTGGGAGCGATGCTGGTTTATAACATCAGATGTAATCTTTCAGCAACAGGGGGGAAAAATGCTTTCAGAAAAACGCTTTCTGTCATTGGCCACTATGGTGGTGCATCCAATTACACTGCTTTCATTTTGGATCCAGGGGACACAGCTCGGAGAAGAAATCGGCAGCCACAGGGAATGCATGTGGTGGGAATCCAGCCAGCAGGAACAGGAGCGAGCGTGTGCCCTGGTCCACGAGGCAGGGCACGCAGCCCGTCCTAGCTCTCCCTTTGGGGCTCTCTGGGGAAGTCTCAGGGCTTCTGATAGCCCTAGCATGCAAAGCAGGTGGGTTAAAGGGAGGGAGAAGCATCATGTCTTTCCTCTGGGAAACCGAGCCAGAATCAGCTCACCAAACCCTTACTGGAGTGAGCGAAAATCCGAGCTGAAGTCTCCAGGTCTGTTCTGAACCTTACTGCTCTGCTGGCCTCCTGGCTGCAGATGGGGCCAGGGTCCAAAGAAAGCTGTTTCTGTAAGTCTTAAGCTCAATAAAGGGTTCTTCTGGCAAGGAGCTGATCCAGCCCACACAGGCTGATCCATCCCCCAAGACCTGCTGTCTCCATCACAAGCTGCCTCATGGATTATTCCTCCTCTCCCTACTCCATTGCTCTCCTGTCTGCCAATATTATCTATTACCTTTTCTAGCTGTCATTCTCACTGACTCCTCCAGGAGACTTCTTTCCCTGCTCCTGACCAGCTGCAGGGTGGCTCTGCCAGCCCCAAACTTCCTTTACGTGGCCATGGGGCCACTGCTCACCCACCCCACAGCGAGGTGCCCAGCCAGGCCATACACACCAACTACATCATTTGCAATATTTTCCTGGCAGTTATCAACTAATGTATTCAGAGATGAATTCCTTTTTTTCCTAGGCCAGCTTCAAGTCAAATTTAGTGACTGAAAACAACATTAGCCTTATTGACTCTTTTATCAGCATCCCATTTGTTGGTGGGGAGAGACATCCCAGCTTCTCATGAATAATAAGGCTGTTCATACTTTAAAATCACAAGAATGGAGGGGAGAGCAGGGCAGGGGCAGAGGCAGCAATTTCAGTGGCAGGCTGGGCAGTGGATAAGGTCCAAGCCCTTTCACCCCACAGCTGAATTTAGGTCTGGGTCTGAACTTGGCCACAGATCCACTTGTGCCTTCAAACCAAAGCAGATCCCCACGACAACCCTTTCCCTAGCTATCAGGCAGGCTGCCTGCAGTGTGTTTAAGGCATAACTCCTAAATAAACCCCCGCAAAGCCCCAGCAGCTTGCACACCCAGACCCTGTCCCTTGGTCATCCCTGTGACCAGGGCAATGGGACATCTCTGGGCTGGGACACCTCTGTCCTCACCAGCTCACACCTTTGTGCACCTCCAGGGGGTTATCCCAAACTGAGAACCACTTCGAGAAGTCAGCCTGAGGCCGGAGCTAGGCACATCTTTCAGCACACCTCTGCTCACCTGAAATCCAGAGATTTTAATAAAAGGACTTTATTTTAATTTAACTCCTATCTCAGGACCACAGCAGGATAACCAAATCACAGCCACGCTTCACCTCAATTCCTGAACGTTGCTCAGAAAACATAGACAGTGACTACTCTGAATCAATACAACCTGATCTAAAGGCTCCTTGAGCTTTTATCCCCCAGCCCAGTGCTTGCAGGGGTGTGGGCCAGGTTGCAGTCCCTCAGGACCAGCCAAGGGGCTGCCACCAGCACCAGCAGCTCACCGAGTCCTGCAGGCTGCTCACAGGCACTGGGGGAGGATGGGGCACCCAGTGACCAAAGAGCAGGGTACAGCCAAAACCCAGGTCCCCCACTTCCCCCACCAGCCCCTGCACCAGCCTGCGTTCCTCTTTGATAGGCACAGCTATCGGGCTCTGCTCTCTGAAGAGTAATATCTGCCTGCCTGGCAGTCAAAGCTGAGCTCCTGCTCGATAACTCATAGCCGCAGCACATTTATCTGCCTTCAGCACATATAATCTTCTGTTTCCTGTGCACCATGCCCTTCCCTGGCAATGCTGATGCAAATCAGCCTGCATAAAGCTTTGAAGAACAGAAGCAAATCATTTGCATTTTGTTCCTAACCAGTAGCATTTTCATTTAATTTCCTAGCTCCTTATTGTAATCACCCTCTACACAATTTCAATCAAATCGTATCCATCAATCTGACCAGCCCAAAGCTTAACGATGGTAAAACTTTCATGTAAGTTCCCAAATGCAGTAAATAATAGCAAATTGCAGCAGGCATCAGCTATCTGACCCATGCGCACTCTTCATTAATAACCTTCTGATCTAGAAGTGACTTGCCGCATGTATTTAACTCTGGGAGAAGCTCTCTGGGGTAGGTAAAGCTGTCACACAAATCCTCATATGAAGGTAAACTGTAAAAGGAGAGACTTCTCCATTTTAAAATATGGGGAGCTGGCAAGAGAAGTCACACCTGCAAGCTGCATCTCTGTTTCCCGTTATATCCCCTGTCTTGGAGCTACCTCTTCACTCCAAAACCAGACGCATTTTTACATTTTGAAAGCCAACTTGGTAAACCCACCTCCCTGTGAAGACCAAGGCAGGTCACTTTTATTCCAGCTTCCTCCAGGCAGTTCCAGGAGCCAGCAGTGAGAAAGCAAAAGCGTTGCCTTGTCCCCTCCAGGATCCTGCTATCCCCAGCTATCTCAGGTTCTGTCTCCCCCAAAGCACGAGCTTTTTGCAGCAGATGCCCAGCCTGTGCTTGGGGTTTCCATGCAGGCATGTCATGCCCTCCATGTGTCTGTGCAATGGTTGATACAGTGAAGACAAACTCACATCGTTATCATTCAGATTAGTCACCTTAAACTGAAAGATGTCTCATCTGGGACAGGTTCCTTGGGAGAAACGGGGTCCACAGGGGCAGATCCAGACCCAAGCCTTAACTAGCTTAGCAGCTTCCCAGAACCCACCAGCATGCGGTGCATTCCTGAGGATATGTATGCTCATCACAGCTGGGGACAGTCCTGCCCACTGGCAGCTCAGGATCAGAGCCTAACCACACTTGGAGCTGCTCTGGTACATTTTTCCACCCTGCTTGTGCCCAGATAGGGGTGCTGGGGAAAGGAACAGGACAAATAAAGAGCCAGATAGAGCTTCCACACTTAGTTGCCCTCTATAATGTGACATCCACGCGGGGTGTGCTACACCTCCTGAACCACAACTTCTTTCAAAGTCCAAGCTGTGCTTCCTTTCAGCACACCCAAGGCCCCAGGACACTAGGATGTAGCCCAGGGGATTCTTTTCGAACTTTGCCTTTCCTGTGACCCCGCATGCTTTGACTGTACGCAGAGGTGCAGATTGACCTGGTCTGTATCTGGAGTGCTCCTCTCCTCCTCCCAAGGCTGCAAATCACCCGCAAAACCTTTCTGCAAGGAACAGCCGCAGGAAGGGAAAATG